CCCCAAAACCCCAAAACCCCAAAACCCCAAAACCCCTCAATCCTCAAAATAAAATAATTAATAATATCTCAAAGCACAGACCACTAACATGGAGTCCTACCAGCCGGCAGCTAATATGGCTGATTCATTAAAGCAGAAATTACAACTGTTCATCGCATGTAGGAAGTTGAAAGACCTGGACTATATCTCGAAGTCAGACCCCTTTGTGGAGGTCTATGTCAAGCATGATGAGAGATCCCATTGGGTGCTCGTTGGGAAGACTGAGACTATCCAGAATAGCCTTGACCCACAGTTTGCAACCCCAATCGTGATGGATTACTACTTTGAGAAAAACCAAGAGATTCGATTTGAAGTTTATGATGAAGATCCTAGTCAGAAGGAGAAACAAGGTACGCATCAGACTAATGTAGCCAGCCTTCTTGGTGCAAAGAACCAGACTTACTATGCTCCACTTGTGTTAGATAAGAAGTCTAAGGAAAATCGTGGATCTATTGTTATTACCACTGACGCCGTCAAAGATAGCAACAAGTCAGCCATCATTAGCCTTGAATGATCCAAATTAAAATCAAAGAAAGAATTCTTTGGTCTAGTTAGTACCAATCACCCATTTCTAGAAATCAAACGTTGAAGAACACGAGAGTCCACTCTTGAGGACATCAGGGATGCTATCAAAGTGTACACATCTCCAGTCTTGAAGCCCACTCTGAATCCAGTCTTCAACTTGGGAGAGATCTCGCTGGACAAACTGTGCAACAACGACATCGACTTGCCGCTGCTGTTTCAGGTGTGGTCCTACCAGAAGTCAGGCAAACACCGCATCTACGGAACTGTCCAGGGTTCGGTCAGGCAGATGGTCGACCAAGTCGGAGTAGAGCACTCAATCATTAAGAAGCAAGGCAACCCTTATGGTACAATGACATTCTCCAGGTTTGATTACATTGAAAAGCCAACAATGGTAGATTATCTGAGAAGTGGATGGAAGATCTCCTTAAGTGTGGCAATTGATTTTACAGCGTCTAATGGAGAGCTCTCTGAACCATCTTCTCTTCACTACATTGATCCAAATAACCCAGCAAAAATGACCCAATATGAGCAAGCAATTTACAATATTGGAAATATTCTCGAGCCTTACGACTCTGATAGAAACTTTCCAGTCTTCGGCTTTGGAGCCAAACCAAGGTTTTGCGGAATAGAGCAAGTTTCTCATTGTTTTCCCCTTAATGGCAAAGAGAATCCAGAAGTTGAAGGAGTCCAAGGCATTCTCGAAGCATACAGAAATGCCATGTATGGTGGAATTGGACTCTATGGGCCTACCAACTTCACTCCTTGTTTGCAAGCAATGGCCAACTTTATCAAAGATAGAGTGTCCTTATGTGAATACAACATCATGCTTTACATCACTGACGGAGCAATTACTGACATGGACGAAACAATTGAGGAGTAAGTCAGAATTTCATTCTGACAATAATAATTTATAGAATTGTAAAAGCAAGTCACTTGCCAATGAGCATTATCATTGTAGGAGTTGGGACAGCTAACTTCTCCAGAATGGAAGACTTAGGTAATACTTTCTTTCAGCATTCAACTTATTATCTTTGGTTCATTTTTATCAGAACAATGTATCATTTTAATTTAGACTCTGATGGGCAGATGCTTCGCGATAAGTATGGAAACTGCGCATCAAGAGACATAGTACAGTTTGTGCAATTTAACAATTACTCCAGTGACGTCTCATACTTACATGAGGATGTCCTGAGAGAGGTACCAGGACAACTGGTAAGATACATGGCTAACAATGGTATTTCGCCAAATCCAGTTGCTCATGCACAATATTAGAATGAAATATTTTCATAAGGTGCTAACAGTTTTAGAATCCTCAATTAGATCTTTATCCTTCGGGGTTTTGGGGTTTTGGGGTTTTGGGGTTTTGGGG